TAATCCAATGATCTGTGCACACTTTAAAAGGAGCAAAAGTTTCAGAGTGATTACCCTCCAGGCGATTCTATTTGAAATTACAATCATGTAGATTTGTCCAACTGCACATAATCATCGCCAAGCAAGGACTGAAGAGCTTTTTAGTAAAAAGCACACCACTACCTTCTGCCATTAAGACCCTCAGTTTTATCTCCTCATTTCAGATTCAGTGCTGGTACATTCCTCGGGGGAGGGGGGTGAATGAGGAGAAAAAAGAAATCCTGCTGGTAGGTTCAGACACCTGCCTGCGGTAACACATGCTCCCCTCCTGGTCTGAGCTCTGCTATCTCAATAATGAAAAGAAAGATATATAAAAAGTAGAAGATTTATAAATAAGAATGCTGCTGCTATGTGGCTGAGAGAACGGTTTTTCAAATCAGTGGGCAATTTGCAAAGTGTTTCATAAGACTTAACATGCCACTCTAAGTTCTATTTGCTAAGTAATTCAGTTGTAGAGGAGCAAAATATTGTAAGGATGCAAAATTACTGCTAAAAACTCAGACTACCATCCTTAATTCAAACGGACGGCACCTGGTTCTCCTTGGTTGCAGGAACAGCTAGTTAAAGATTCTATTACATAGACAAAGAAAAAACCATGTAAATTGTTATTTACTGCCATTTGTCTCAACTCTGGCAGTGCTGTGATTGTTTTATTTAGAGACAAACTGGTTAGGGCAACGCTTTGCATGTCCGGATGCAAGCTTCAGATGCTTGACTTGGGCAGAAGTCAACCATTATTTGAAAGCCTATACCCTTCAACTGTTTGTATATGTTAGAAAAGCTTTTGTTTGGGACAGTGTGTGTCCCATGAAGTGAGCTTTATCTTGTGAAGCAACTATGGCTGCATGTTAATGTTTTGTCATGGACCTCAGCATCAGTTAATTTTTATTTTTATATCAATTTATTTGTCAGGGACAATACATTTAGACATTTCTACATCTAATTAAAGTGCAACCGATGCAATATATATAGGACTTTAGCCATGGCTAGTTTGCAGTCCTAGTCCCTGGTTAGGCTTTTTAACACTCGGACCGCCAGCATTCTATCCCCTCCCCCCCAAGCGCTGCAGCGGTCTGTCAGACCGTCATATGTAATTTCATTGTTTGTGCTCAGAAGCACACAAAGAATGCATTTTTTGGATGAATTTACGAGAAATTATGATAAATACAACTTACGTTTATGTACATACAAAATAACACAGAGCATAGAGCAGGATTGGCAACCTTTTAAATGTCTCATGTCAGTTTACAATATTTGTCGGCTTTTCATAGTGCGCTGTATTTTTTTACTCTTGCTCCATGTCTATTGCTAAAATACATTCTACAATAATACATGATACACAACTTTTAGTTTGGCTATATTAGGCTATGCATTTTAATAAAAACACTGTAAATAGGGACAACTGGATTTTTTTCCCCGACTGATAAAATCATTGAACAACACACACACGCACGCATGGATGAACAACAGGTTGCAGGTTGGATTGAAAAAAAAAACAAGGCTATCTATGGGCATGTCAAACTATGGAAGTGTATACAAAAATAACTGCAGAAATCCATAACATGGAAGACGCAGTGGCGAACAAACAAACATATGAACAAAAGCACGATCAGCACCTTGGAGAGCGCCGCAGCACCCAAGGCACACATCTGGGGCCAAAGGTCCCAACGCTTATGGTTCACTTCCCACCGAAGGGCGGTTCCATCCCTTGCAGGAGAGAAGGGTCTTATTTTGCTTGCAGTGGATGTTGATCTGACACTTCCTCATTTTCTACTGGGTCTCCTGAGTCAAGACACATTGTAAAAAGAACTATATGGAAGTACTGGACGAAGCAACAGAGTCTGCTAGATGATGCTATTAGGAGAATATTGGCATTTAGTGCTCGCCCCATGTGAAGGAGTTCAAGTATCTCGGGGTCTTGTTCACGAGTGAGGGTAGGATGGGCTGTTAGATAGACGGACGGATTGGCTCGGCGTCTGCAGTTATGCAGGTGTTGTGCCGGACCGTTGTGGTGAAGAGGAAGCTGAGCCTGAAGGCAAAGCTCTCAATTTACCGGTAGATATTTGTTCCGACCCTCACCTATGGTCATGAGCTATGGGTAGTGACCAAAACAATAAGATCGCAGATACAAGCGGCCGAAATGAGCTTCCTCCAGAGGGTGGCTGTGCTCAGCCATAGAGATAGGGTGAGGAGCTCATATATTCGGGGGGGAGCTCGGAGTAGAGCCGCTGCTCCTTCGCATCAAAAGGAGTCAGTTGAGGTGGTTCGGGCATCTGTTAAGGATGCATCCTGGACGCCTCCATGCACCAATCGCAGGGAATAAACGTCACCACGCCTCCCGCTCGCTCAAAGTGAATTCTCCTGATTATTCCTGCTGCATTCTCACATGAGCTCACTCGGTTTTTCTGCAGAAAATACTAAATGGCTGGCAGGAGAAAGTGCAAATAAAGTCAGAGTAAAACATGAGACTGTTTGCATTCACACATGGAGCTCACCCTGATGTCCTCAGTTTTTGGGGAGTTTTGTGCAAGCGTGAAAGTCCTGTGAGTGTGTTATAACAATGCTCTGTATGTACTCTCTATGTACTATGGAACAATATGTCTGATAATGATGGGAAAAAAGTGCTAGTCACTGAGGCAGAGAGACAGGTAAGAGTTCATACTCAAAAACAGTGAAGAGCCCTGTGGTCATGTGCACTGCTTTTAATTTAATGAACTGATTTCCAGGACTGAGGATGGTTTAGAAAAAGGCATACTGTATGTATAGAGGACCAACTGCAAGGAAATAAATTCCTTTTTATGTTAACATCTGGATAAATCAAAACTCCCCAACCTCTACCAACACACGCACACGCATGCACCCACACGCACACACACAAATACAAGATATACAATTTCCTTCCAATACTTAAATGAAACTTTGCCCTTGTATTCAAGTTTATGTTATTTTATTCTGTCTACCACTCATGTTGTTTTCCTTCTGCTGATGCTCAGTGGGAGTAAACAAACAGAACAGTTGTAAAAATCAATAACTCAAGGTAAGCCAGGACATGTTGCAACTTCCTCTGACAGACAGGTTCACTTTGGTTGTTTTTTTTTTTTAGTGGAGACAGAATAAGCCAGTGTGAGTGAAACATATCAGTGTGAAATCTGCTCTAAACTAATTAAAATGTCCTTTTCTTGAAACCATCACTCCCAGTATCCTCATACTATGGGGTGTAAAAAGGTTGTCTACAGTAAAGTGCGGTGTACAGTTGTATAAGCAACAGCTTCCAGTCATAGATACTATTTTGAGCAGAGCCATCTGTGACCTTTCACTGTACGTGTTCACACTGTCAGAGCAGTTTTGCAGATTATGTGACAAGTTGCAGGTTTGAACCAGCACACGAGATCGTCTCATCTTCACAATCTTCTTCTCTGAGGCTTGGTGAAAATGTACAGTACTGACAGGCCAGATAACGAAGACACTTTCTCAGCACACAAACAAAGATCTGTTTACATTCTGCACCTCATGGAGAGAGAAAAAAAAAACAACCTGCGAGTCTTTCTTTTTTTTTTTTTGTGTAGGAAAGCAGTTTGCTTGAAAAGGTGCTGTTCTTATAAAAGATTAATAGATGCTAGTGGCCCAGAGGCACCCAAAGCAACAACTCGGGATTCATAAATAAAGCTAAATGAATCAATATTTCAAGACTTCAGAGGTAACCTGTGCCTACGCACACCTTTGGAGAGAAACTTTAAGAAAGGTTAGGTTTTTAATCGATGCCTCCAAACAGTAATAATAAAGAAAGTATGTTATTTAATCATCCAACTGTTTGGTATGGAAGTGAAATCCAGAAACTGTTTCAAAAGCTCCAAAACAAAAAAAATACTCCCCTCTAATCATGGAAGCAAAAAAGACAGTCTCATGTTGTAGACTCGCATATCAAAGAGTAATTGTGTTGACACTACAGCAGAGTCCTTTTTTTCTACTGAATCAAAACAAGGAACAAAGGATGGTATGAATTGTGACAGAGGTACATTATTCCTCGCCTGGCACGCCGACATCAGACCCTCATCAATCAACTTTAATTGAACCTGAGTGCCAAAGCAGAATGACATGTTACACTGGAAATGAAAACTCGCTTGACAAATGTGACGAATCTAGACAATTTGCCTGCAGTTTTCAAAGCCATTATTATGGCAGCATGGTGATAATTATGAAGCATATGTTGGATTATACAAGCTGTAAAAGTCACCAATGAATTTGTAGAACATGTGGCATTTGATCCTTTTTTTATCAGGACGTATTTAATTATACTGTATTTAACTGCTTTTTATAGCTTGTTTACTTTTTATAGAAGAACAATGCTACCATACTATACTAATGTATTACTGCTATTCAGAGGACCAGTACTTTTTACTTCTTAATTTCTGCCATTTAAAAAAAAGTACTGTAATATTTATTTTAGACAGTCTCCTTTTTGCATCCTCTACTTTTATTTACAAGTTAAATTCATTTGTCAGTATCTATAATGAACATCTAAAATATAAATTGATAACCTAAGAGCTTATACAATAGTCACCTGGAACATAAAAACAACAGCTGATCTGTTTTTAGAAATGTAATAACGTTTGTATCACTATATCTTACAAATTTAGATCTGAGTTCACCTTTTACAGTACATCACAAAATTGTATTTGCTTGTTTTTCTGAAGGATTTTGATGATTCACAAAACGTAATAATACATGTTTGATCTCTCTAACAGTAAATGTGCACTTTCCACCACTAGTTTTAATACGTAAGGTGTTTACGTCATATATGTGACAACTGGCAGGATAAGTGTTTAAATCCTGAACTTAAACTTCTTTGTGATTGTCATCCATGAAAAACAAAAGGAATGTGGAATTGCTTCTGGAGAGGAAAAAAAACAAGTTCTGCTGAATCATCCATCTGTTTTTTATTCTTTTTTTTCTCTCCCAAGGGGGCTGATGCCACGAACACTCGACAGCCAGATCACTTTAGAGAAGACTCCCAGCTACTTTGTCACCAGGGAGGCGCCCAGACGCATCGCCACCATGTCCCATGAGACCAAGCTGATTGTTGTGGTGCGTAACCCAGTCACGAGAGCGATCTCCGACTACACACAGACTCTCTCCAAAAAGCCTGACATTCCCACGTTTGAAGAACTGGCCTTTAAGAACAGAAGTCTCGGTCTTGTTGACTCGTCCTGGAACGCCATTCGAATAGGAATGTATATCCTGCACCTAGAGAACTGGCTGCAGTACTTCCGCCCATCGCAGATGCACTTTGTGAGCGGGGAGCGGCTGATCACCGATCCAGCCGGGGAAATGGAGAAAGTTCAGGACTTTCTAGGACTGAAACGAATAATCACAGACAAGCACTTCTACTTTAATCGAACCAAAGGATTCCCCTGTCTGAAGAAGCCAGAGAGCAGCAGCCAGCCGCGCTGCCTCGGCAAATCCAAGGGCAGAACTCATGTACAGATCGACCAGGAGGTCATAGAGCAGCTGCAGGAGTTTTACAGGCCATTTAATATTAAGTTCTATGAAACTGTTGGACATGACTTCAAGTGGGATTAAGAGTGCATTATAGGAATCGCCTTTGGAGATTTGAAATGCAAATTACGTTATCATCAGCAAAATATTTAATTCAAAAATCTATTGACATATGTATACATTGACTAATCAGTATAAAATAATATACCTTTTAGACATTTAAATAAATATATATATATATAAATGGTATCAAACCATACAGGGTCACTCTGATAACAAGTGCCATATATCTAAGAAATTATATTCAAAGCCCAATTTTCTTTACCACATACCACATACATCAAATTGAATTAATCATCAGACAACCATAATCAATTTGTTAAACAAGTCATTAATCGGCAACAGTCCCCATGCTGTCCTGTCATTTGGCTATTTCAGCCAAATTAAAGACATTGCTTGAATTTTTTTTTCACCCTGGATTTTCTTATTTATTCATTGTTTGTGCTCAAAAATCAACCACTTGCTTTGCTGTTTAAATGAGCTGTGGGAAGTTGCAGCAAAATGTCAAAGTAATAACAAAATCAGCCTTTCAATTATTCTGCAGTGAAACGTATTAAAAGTTCATAGGTAACAGGGAAGAACTGCCTTCATAAAAGTACTGTAACTGAGAAGAAAAAAGCTATATTAAGACAGATGCTTTAATAAGGGTTTATTGTTGGTTGAACTGTATTTTTGTTGTGATCATCAAAATAAAAAAGGCAAAAGTGTTTCATTCTACAATTCATTTGGAGATTTCTGGATTTCTTGCCACATTGAGTCAAAATAAGCCAATGTTTTATTCTTCATATCAGTTACGTTCCCCCTCATTTGTGCTGTATTTGTGTTCTCTTAGCGGTAGTCCCAAAACATACTCTAACCAATCCTGCTGCCAGCGTGTGTGTTATACAGTAGAGTAAATACAGTGTGGTGTATATGAAGCCTGCAAACCTACCCAAGGGGTAAAGTCTAGCTTAAACAGTTCTACAAATACAAACCCACTTTGTGTTTAAGCTTTACCTTCAGGAGTGAGTGTGGAAATTCTCTCTCACATCTCCTATCCTAATCTCAAAGAGTATATAACTTACTATAAAAAAGATGTTACGTACTGAGAATGTTGAAAGATAAAACCTCTCTTACCAAATGCTGCCATGCATGTCATTGATCTCATTAACTTTCAAAATTCCTCTCTTGATGGATGTGATCGTGCTCTCTCTAAATGTGCCTCCATGCTAAGCGGATAGATTAACCTCTAGAATTTGCACCCTGAAGGCAATCAGAGTTGTCATTAATAATTTCCACTGAAGCCTCCAAAATTCTCGACACAAAAGAGGAAGGGAAAAAAAGATCAAAAAAAAAAAAACCTCTGCAAAATAAAGTAGCTCAAATACAACATAAAACCAAACTGATGATATGCTAATTTATGCTGGACGTTATCTGTCTTCTGTGAAATATGGCAGCAAATGCATTCGGCAGATTAAAGATGTGAGATTAGCGCAACCTTCTGCAGTTATATCAAATGAATTCCCATGGTAATATTTGTGTCCTGTATGAATACAGCTTTAGATTTAACCTCCATTGTGAACTCACAACAACATGACCTTTCGAAAATGCTGAAACTGCAACACTATGTTGTTTCTAAGCTTAACATTTAATTACTTAATACGCCTAACTACTCTCTCTTCTTCAGCTTATATCATGTCCCTTGAATTGTTTTGGAGGCACTGACTTTGTGGTGTTTGCTTGTGGCACATCTATTTATTTGTGGCAGGAAAAGATGCACAAAGTACATTTTACAGTTCTCTTTCTTTATGTGGCTAAATAATCTGTTTCTGAACATTTACTAACAAGAATTTAACACACAAAAAACAGCTTTAATCATCCTGTAATGTTCTTGATGAAAAACATGATATAATAAGACATGATACGATACGATGCAATACACATTTGATTCTCTTTATTGCCCAAGTAAGGACATTGGTCTTACTGCTTGAACCTACACCGCAAGCTACCACACTAGCACAAGCTAAACGCCCATGTTTTGCACCTGCCTTTCCAACAGGCAGATTCCAAAGATACTGACTCTACCTTTAAAAGTATATTATGTAGTTAGATAGCAAGATAGCAACTGTTGGATATAATTCAAAGTTGAGAGTCTCTTCCATCACAACGACACTCTCGCAGTAGAAATGTGACGGCCAAAAGCTTATTGGAGCTTTTATTTCTGATGTTCCTCCATTATTATTTGATTAGCCTGCCAATACTGTCCCTGTGGCAGAATCTAGAAGTAAAAAGAACTGGATATTTGTTTTTTGTTTTTTAATGTCGCTGCGAGCCATTTGTAACCCACAATGTGAGACATGTTACGAGCCATGGTGCAGACAGTGGTGCACCATGGAGTTCCTCAGTTCTGTACAACTTCTCCCTATATACGCTCATATATCTGTAATACTTCCTTGCAAGCCTGCAGCCTGCCTCCACCTACAGTGTCACACATGCAGCTGAGGCCATGACAACATGTTGTTCTTTGAGGTCTTTAATGTATTAACGGCTCATTATAAAGGAAGGACGTGTTCACTGGGTGACTACAAGCTGTCTGACTGACTATTCTAACCTTCAGAGTAAAATACCATAGAAGCTGTTGTAAATGTCGTGAACTTTGAAAGACTCTGAGGTAAAATTCACCTCTGCCACTCATCAGAAATGCCTAACAATACACAAAGAAATCAATTACCACCAAGTACATTTATCTTTTCCTTCTCATTAAACAGAGGGAAATAATGAGGAAGCATTCAGATGTGCTTTGCAATCTTTTTTTTTTAACAGACTTCAGAACTGCAGAGGTCTTTTCTAACTCCTGCCTTGAAAACCTATTGAAATTCTACTGAGGCGCCAACCCTGAAACTTCACACACTTTACAAACCCGCGTCTGTAATCTCTGTATTGTGGAGACGACATCTAAAGCAAAAGAGCTGAGGATGTGCTGTGTCCCAGAAAGGACAGTAACTAGTGCTTCTTCAAAAAAAAAGCATGAATAACAAAAAAAAAGCTCAAATACAATAATGGGAAAAAATACTATCTTGTAAAATCTTATAAAATATAAGATATGATTTTATATATTTCCATATATAATGTCATTGTGCTTGTTTCTTGCTGGAATGTGTAATTTCAGTGGCTTCTCCCTTTTGCCTGCAGTGCTGAAAGTTGTAAATCCAGACATCTCCTTGTCCTATAGTAAGCCAAAGCTGTGGAAGATAATGAGGATGTTCCTTTTTTTTCCAATGGACAATGAGAACAGCAGACTTTCCTTTAAGATGATTTTACTATTGGCAGCCAGAAACCCCTCTGGAGGAAATCTCATTAAATACCAAAATGGTCTGTGAGCTAACCTCTACCTGCATCATTGCACCTTTTGAATATATTGTTCCCTGAGGTTTCCCCAGGAACATATTCTCCTCTCTGGTATTAAACTTCAAGCTGTTCTTTAAATTAAGTAAAAACTTAATTTACATCCTCTGCAGAAGTATTTTTTGTGTGTGTGTGTGTGTGTGTGTGTGTTTTCTCAGCGTGTGTCATCGCTGTCTCTGCATAACCACTTCATGCTCTGTGTCACTATAATGAAAAGATTCACGTTGAAGACGCAGTGCATTGTGGGAGGGGGAGCTGGGATAAAACACAGCCACAAAAAAGCACACCTATTGTACTTACATACACACAACTGACTAAAGTGAAAACCTTTCCCCTCACCTCATTTCCTCTGGTCTGTTGAACATGTGCTGCTTGCCTTACCTTCACAAAGGTCAAGTGCAGAATGGGTCTCCAGGCACACAGGCAACTAATTAAGCAGTAGTGGTGGAGTATGCGTGCCAGCTCCTGGGAAACCACAGCGGTCGGTCAGTCAGTCGTTAGCCACCCTCAGGGGTTACGAACCTATTGTTTCACATGCAGGCGAGGGTTGAGATTTACATAACATAGTTCTCATTCAAAACAGAAATAGAAGGAAATGCAGGAAAGAAAGCATATGGATGACAAAAAAAAAAGGTAATGGTATCAGGGAACCGTCCATTTAAACACTGTCAATGTTACGTTTCATTTGTGTCATTTAATTCTGTTAATATAGACGGGGGAAAAAATACACCAAAATATTTGTAAAACATTTGTATCCACATTTCTTGCTATTTTGTCAGCTACTGTCACTTCCTTGTGTTTTTGCCTGGGGCTAGAAATAGTCTAATAGGCTACATATCCTGGAAAAATGCAAATTCGACACTTTGGCTTCATTCTTGTGAAACAAAGTGTTGATTAGTGTCAACCTTAGGGGATGCTGATTGGCAGGTTTTGAAACCCATAGGACAGAGCCACGCTAACTGTCTCCCTTATCTCGAGTCTATGTGCCCCATTTAGACTTGCCTTTGTTTGATCTGTGCCATTGACTGGTTTGATGTAACTGTCTGTTTTTAATGTCTCTGCTTGTTCTGGTCTTTTATTGTGAAGCACTTTGTGACGTCTGCTCTTTAAAGGTGTTACATAAATTCACTTGACTAATTATTTCTTCTTTAATACTGAGCAACTGAAAAGGGAAGGACCTTATGGAGGGATATGTTCTCATCAATCAAGTCAAATCAAACTATCTGATTACAGCTTAGCCAAAGTCAGACAAGTCAACCTTTACGCTGAGCCTCTTTCAACCTAACATCACAGTTAGAAATGGACTTGGTAAACGGTATATGGACTTGAGCTTCCATAATATAGTGCTTTTGTCTTCTGACTGCTCAAAGCGCTTTTACACCGCAGGTCATACCTACCCAGTCACACACTGATGCCAGAGGTTGGAGACGTAACTAATCCCATATGTACACATTCATATACGACGAAGCAGCGAGAGCAACTTGGGGTTAAGTGTCTTGCCTAAGGACACATCGGACATTCAGATGCAGGATCTGGGGAGCGAACCCCCAACCTTCTGGTGGGAGACAGCCGACTCTACCAACTGATCCACAGCCACCCAGAAATCAGTCTAGCTGTGAATCATCAAATGTGTTGTTTGCATTTTTTTAAAATGGCTGCCATTTGGACACAATGGATTGCTGCATTATATGAAGAATCTGTCAGTTCTGTTAAACAGTGTTATTGAGAGACTATTTGGTTGCAAAATCAAATGATTTTTGAACAGTATTGGAGAAATGTTCAGTGCAGAGGACTACAATGTACATGACTGCACCCCCCCGCCCAGAGGGAAAGAAGGGGTATGCAGTGATTACATCCACCCTCTCCAGGAAGCTTTTATGTGTACAGTAAGTCTGAACCTGTGACTTAGACATTTACCTCCTTAATCGACTGAGTGAATGTGCCCAACGGTGTGTTCAAAGGTGAGGAAATGTAGTTAACTTTGCCAAATGACCAACACTAAATCAAACTTTCACCACATTTGACACTAATGCTAAAACTCAGAGCCTGCCCGCCTCGGCTTTAAGATCCAGAAACGTTTTCTTTCCAGATGGAGGTAAAAAATAAAAAGTGCTTCTCTCTGAAAACTCAACTTAACTTAAATATTAATGTGTGGGGAAAAAAAGTCGGCTGATAATCTGAATGTAGTTATTACGAGAAGCTGAGCTACATTACAGTAACACTTGTTTCTCATAAAGGTGCATACTGTTTTCAGTTTTAAAGGCCAGACATCATGCTTATTATCTATATTCTTTATTCCTGAACATACTGTAATAAAGAAAACAAAAGGTTTCCAGAGAGATGCAGCGTTTAAACGTCTCATAGTCTCCGTCTTACAGTTGTGTTTTACAAAACTAATGCTTCTGTTTGGCTTTTTGATCGATACTGTACGCTTGTGTTGCTTATCCAGTTGTAATTATTAATGTAAGGTTGAGATTTATGAAGGCATCGCTAATGAAATGAAACCATAAAGCCGTCATGATTGTTTTCAGGGTGTGAATAAAATGCCATCGGTCCCGTAAACATGGTTAGAGGACGTGCTCTGTTGATATAATGCCTCATTGACTCTTAATGTGAAGGCAATTTGGAGGGGAAAAAAAAGAGGTGAATCGTTCTTGAATATAATTCTCTGTAATTGTGGAACTAATGGCCTTACTTTGGAGAACAGGAGACAAGAATCAGAGCAAATGCATGGCCGCTGAGATTACTTCTGCCTGCCTGGGATAGATTCTCGGAGGGAAATTATCATAGATTGTAGCGACGCTCTTTGCAATCACACTGGCTCTGTTTTATTGTAATGAGACTTATCAAAGCACTTCCATTGTGTCATCACTTTCACGCTTTCAGAGAAAAAATGGGCGCATTCACTCGTGTCAGTGGGGCTCTTTCTCTTGTCTTTTGCCGTCTCAACTTCGAGCAACCCTCAGCATATTAAATATTTTAAGATATTTGCTGCTCACTCCACGAGCTGTCTGCTCTGATGTCTCCTCCTCACAGGGTTCCACTGTCTGAGTCTCTAGGTTTTAGGTTTAAGGTGAAAGAGAAACATGTGCAAGCAGGGTTACTATTGGGTTTTAAAAGAGAAAGAAAAGATCAAGAAAGACATCATGAATAATTATTTTAACATAGGGAAAAATATTCTTTTCTTGCCGTTTCATAGGTTTGACATAGTGTAGGCTACATCTCAAACAATCAGTTAAGTCAGCCATTGGAAAACAACACAATCAGAATCAGCTTTATTGGCCGGGTATGTTTACTACACACACAAGGAATTTGACTGCGGTCAACTGTGCTCTCTTTGTACTAATGTATAACATTAAATACCAACAATAAACACAGAATAAGCAAAGAGTAGTACAAGACTAAATAAGACAAGTTTTAGACAACCATTGAATTTACAGGAGGTATTTAACACTCGGCAATATTCGATCTTAAAAGATGAGTGATCTGTCAGTGCAGATGCATTTTATTTTGGGATTTTTGAAAAGGAGGTTCTCTCACAGACAGCAGGTACAAATGTGGCGTTAATGCAGCAAACAACACTCAAGCAGCCTGTCTGAGGTAAATTAGAGGAAAACACTTAGTCAAAATGTATCCCAGATTTTAACTGCATGTTTTCTTGTGGAAGTGCAGTAATTTACATCTAAATGACTTCACACCTACCCACCAAACCTTAGAGAAGAGGTAAAACTAAAAGACATAACAAGGCTCATCAGCCCTGTCAGCCTGTAAAGTAGGCTCTGCTTAATGGCTTGTGATTGGCTGAGAAAGCTGTGCAAAGGCAACAGAGGGATCAATCTGAAAAGCATGACAAGTTTCAGTGAACATAAGAGGATTATTAATGTCTGCTGACATAGCCGGGACTTACAGTGAGCTCCGCTGGAATTGTCAGCCTTTGTGTCTTACAGCATCAAAGTTGTTTGACTACTGAATCATTCAAATCGGTCTATCAACAATATATGAAGTCTTAAGTTCGGTTACATGACCTTGCTTAAGCTGAAAGTGGAAAAGGAACATGATGGATAGGAAGGAAGTTATCAAAGGGCTGTCTGACGCTAAGATCAAAGTGCTGTAAATAATCAATGGTGTCTTGGACTGGATTTCTCTTAGAAAGAGTTTTTCTGTTCTGCTTTGTTTTTCAGGTTATTTTGGGACTTTAAACTTTATTCAGACAGGAGAGCTGTGTGGTGACAGGAAATGTGTGTGTGTGTGGGGTGGGGAGTGGGGGATGCACCAAACAGTGTCAGGATCAGGAGTCAAACCTGGGGACTGTTCATGGGGCGCCTGATCTAACATCTGAACTTAACCAATCAACCCCTTTTTATTCTTAGACTCTTACAACCGCAGTAGTGTGGATTCTTACCAAAAGAGTGTCGGAAACAAATGTGCAAATGTGTTTTAAGTCTGTGCTGCTTCTCTGACACAGAGCGAGCTCATTGCTTGACTTTGAAGTGAATGTCTTTTTCTTTCAGACACGCTTACGCTTCCTGACACCTATAAAGTAAAGCTCGTGCTGAAGGTTTTACGAACATGTTTGTCTCTCACTCAGAAGGAATGACTCGGGGAGCTGCACCTGGCTGCAAGGATCCCAGCTCAGCTCACTTCAGAATTCAAGGACAACACAGGAGTCGTCTGTTTTGGGTTATCACTTGATTATCAATACTCAGCTATTACAAAAAAAGATGCTATGGTATATAAAGTTTTGTTTTTTTCCAGCTGCTTCTAAGACAGGAGACAGTGTGTGAGTTTAAGTTAGAGTTTTTATTTTTGAATAAACCTTTTTGTTAAAAACACATTATTAATATAGGTCCAGGACAAGAGGTAGTGGAAGTGGGGCCCAGGAGACGTAGTGGTTAGTGCCTGCACCCCAAGTACAGAGGCTATAATCCTCTGGGTTGGAATCCGGCCTGTTGCTCCTTTCTGCATTTTATTACCCACTTTCTCTCCCTGATTTGACTCTATTCACTGTCTCATCTCTCCAATAAAGGCACAGAAATGTGGGTCTCTAAAGCACGACCATCCCACAAACCACGTTCCATTACACGTTAACAAGTGTCATCTTCACTTTTGTAGATTTCTCTGACAAGGGGGAAGCGTTTTTGTCTTTTAACCGCCTCATATTTTTGTTTCATTCTCTATCAAACAGTAAAGAACTGTACTTCTCTCAGCGGGTTGACATTATTGCAGGTAGTCCTCCAGAGTCAGTAGTTAGTGCCGCGTCCCTATCAATGCCCCTCATAGTAATAGTTAGTGCTTCTGAACAACTATGTGCTAACGGGGGATAGCAGACTGTTAAGTAAGCAAATCAGAATCAAGTATTTAACACAGTAAAATGTAATAAAATGCTTTAACGAGAATACAAAGACTCTGCTAAAAAAGGGCTGTTCAAAAAAAAAACTGGAGCCAAGCACAGGGATAAAAAATATTTCCTCTTTTTTTCAAGCTAGGAACACATTAGAGCAAATAAAGGGGGGGGCCATTCGGGTGAGCAGGTTTGATTCATGGGGCCGAGCAAAACACAGTGTGTGTGTGTGCTAGCTGCTTGTTAAATGTTCTGAAAATGGATAGTGGCCTTTCAAAAAGCCGCCCCAGAACTCACAGCACTGTCATGCATTCTTGCACTGAGGAGAGTTTGAGCCTCTTTGCCAAAGACTCCCAAGACAAAACGACGTGTCAGAAGTGTGGCCCCACGTGGTTCATCATGTAAAGGTCACACATACTGCTGCGCGGAGGAGGGCCTGAAGAGCATTAAGACGACAGGAGCTGCAATTTAACATACACACTCTGCTTGGTGCAGATTATTATAAAAAAAAATAATAATAACTTTTCAGTCTTAAAGCGTGAGGAAACCATATTTCACACTGTCCCTTACTTTCTTATCCTGCTTTTCAAACAGGCTGCGGTTGTAATTTCCCCATTCGTTGACCTTGAGTCAGCCTGCCAACTTGCATGATGAGGTGTTACAAACGGAAACACTGACATTCTCTTACAACAGCTCACAGTCACACAAAATGTGGAAAAAAAAGAGGGCAACAATAGAAGAGACAAGATGCCACATGAAGGAATCTGTTCAAGCAAAAGAATCACATCCGCATTCATCTACAGTCTCTTATCATTTTGATACAAGAACAGTTATTTTTTTATCATTGGGAAAAGTCTTATGATCCAGAGTATTTTTTTATTCCCTCCACAGACCTCATTATGTACGGTCTCATTAAGAACTATTTCCTGCCAAAGCACGTCAAGCAACTATTTTCTTCCTAGTGGTGCTCAAATCTATGTTAATGATGACACTGATGGCTGACATTTCTGAATGTTTCCAAACTGCACAACAACACGGTTTGAAAGGCGAGACTGAAGTGAGTAAAATAGGAAACTAAACAGAATAATTGAGCTAACAAACTTAGATATTGGAGTAACCAAACTTTTATAATTGGTTAAAAATGATAAGCAAGTCGATCTGTATGTGGCTGGTATGAAAACCTGCATTGCTATGCGATACAAAGCACATGATGGAAGATGAATTATTGCATATTCACCTTCAAATATTCTTGTTACCAGAGGTGTCATTCTGCAGAGAAAGATTAAAAACCTTTTTTTTTTCCATCAGTGGCATTGCATATATGAATGAACAGCACCGTGTTTGTGAGATGCCATCCTTGTGGTACTTTGTGATATTGAAAATAGATGAGCACATGATAATGCACTGTAGGGGTTATGAAATGTCACTGAGTCAGCAATGTTTGAAATCAGGAGCCTTCAGCAGAACTGTCTCCATCTTCAAAGGGAATCAGCGCGGCACTGTAGGTTTTGATCATTTCAGACAATTGATCTATGGTCTTCAAAGAATATTTATGCTTCAGGCATCCCTCAGAAACATTTCAAACAAGCTGCCACGAAGTGTGTGATTGTAATACCAATGCCTGGAAAGATGCAAATCACCCGCCTCTCGATGGTACAGTGAAGTACCGGCTTTTCTGCAAACACTAAACAGTTTCCTGAAAAGAAGAAGTAAAGTCCCAGACAGTCTGTGGATTCAATCAGTCAGATGGTAGCTATAAGGACTATAAGACAATGACTGGACAGCTTTATGTGTCTGTGTCACAAACTGGCTCGAAGTAAGTGACAAAGGAAGGGTATCACACATTAAACAAGGTTTAAAGGAAGTTAATTTATTATCAAACTAAAGTTAAAACAATCATAATTAGGTAAATCAGTCATGAATGCAATGTATTGTTGGAGTGTTGTAGAGTGCGAACAAACGCAAACCAGTTGGTGGAGGCCTGAGAGAAAGAGAGGAGAGACACAAGTTAGAGTGGAAGCCACTTATAAGCAGAGTCCTGATGGACTCGGGTGTACCCAGTTCAACTAATGGCCTTCCTGACTCCGCCTACTCTCTGCCAAGCCAGGAAGCCAAACAAATGCGGACAGAGGGCAGGACGTCACACTGTAAAAGCATCATCATGCATAAAGTTACGTTTCACAAACCTCTCACCAACACTCAGGCAGCTCGGCAGGAAACACAGAAGTTCTTCACTAAAGAGCACTTTGCAGCTCTCCACAAAACAATTACACCAACCTGTGTTTGTATGTTAACGACAGGAAGACAGAGTTAATTCTGTAAATCACTGTCACACTACTTGGTGTGAAAGTGGGTGTGTGACACGAAAAGTTATTTTAGTGTGTTGTGTGAGAGACTAAAATGAAGGCATAAAAAAGCAGAAGTGAACAAACACTTTCAAGTGTAACTTCACTTTGACTCTGCCTTTAAATGCATGTAGTTGCATGCAGTTTGATTCAAAAAGATGTAAAAAAAAAAAAAGTCCTTGAACATTTTAGTAATAAACCCTGTTCAGACAACAGGTAGTGATTATTTTCTTTTTATTATTGTCTGTATTAGAGCAGCTCTAATCTATTCATTGTATGAGACTACAAACTTGCACATGATCATTTCAACATGATTACATCAGTCAAACATGGCTGAATAACATGATTGGGTCTGTGGTATAGTGTTCACCTCTTATTAGAACAGTACGCTCGGATGAATATACTTTTTTAGGGGGAGAGGGGATTTTTCTAACTGTCATAAGACTGCTACACATTATGGTTACATGAGAAATCTCCAGTACACAGAGATGCTATTCGAACACTATCGGTTACTTGATGTCAGTTGGTACAGTAGTTTGTATGATGGGTTTGATATTTTCAGACAGGTTGAAGCTTGTGTGTGCATCTCAGGTCATGACTTCACACACATGCGTGAATCCCAATGAAGATCAGCAGACAGCAATATTCTGCAGATTTTGTTCCGATCTATTGCCTTTCTAGGAAGGAAAAAGATTCTCTTCTCATAAGCAGTGGCGGTTCAAGACCACTTTTACTGAGGGGGCCAGGCTGGGGCCATTTGTTTATGTCCGAGGGGCACATTTCCCCCCCCCCGGACAAAAATAGACAAAGATGATCGTGCTTTAAAGAAATGTCTAATGGTTGATAGATGGAAGGGGGTGGCCATTCTATTCATTTATGTTTGGTTGAGACACAATCGTTTCACCTTTCGCTTTTGCATCAGTGCAATATCATCGACATTAATGTATTGTTTTATTAACATGCGTCTCACTAACATTTTTGAGAAGGAGCCACAAAGAGGACCAAGCTCAGTGTTACAGGAGCACTGGCCCCTGTTGGCCTCTGCCTAAAACCGCTAATGCTCATAGGAGACACTGTGCATGATGGCATTCCTAAACGAGCTGATTTTAGAGCAGACTTATAATTTGCCTAAAGAAAGAGAATGGATTAAAAGGCGAGACAACTGGATCAGCAACACCATTAACAATTAGATCATTTCCCAATGTTTGCATTCAGTCCAAAGTTCAGTGGTATCACATGCAGCAGGGTTGGATTTTTTTTTTACAGACTGACAGCTGATGGCACAACATTTAACAGCACCTACTTTTTTTTTTTTTTTTCTGCTGGCTTCAGTATGTTTAAAATGACCTAGAGACACTTTGTGACTTTGGGGATTTTATAACTACCCAGAAACCACTGCAGATATACTTTCCATTTGTTTGAAAGACAGTCTAGTGAGGATGAACACTTGTGTCTCTCAACTTCAGGGACATTGCTTTAATGTGTACGTTTGTGCGGCGTTCATGCTCAAATACAAGAACAAAATTTGCACTTGTTTTATGAACATTGTTACAGTCCTTCCTGGATTTACTTCTACAAGAAGGATCTCGTAAGGTAAGTCTAATAGCAGGAGGACTAAACTTTGTGCAAAGTCTTGCTGTGCTTATCAAAGAGTCATTAAAACGCAAACAGCTGTTCGAATCGCCGTTTGGCTGTAAAGACGTTATGTCAACATTTTGGGTCTGTTCCTCGTAAGATGGTGTGTCTTAACAAAAGTGATTCAGTGATGTTGCTCATTGTATCCTGTCTTATTGGCCACACTGCAAAGTTTAAAGGAGGACGTAAATGTAAGAGGAGATTCAAGGGACAAAGATGCTGGACTTCTGAAGCAGGCACTTACTGTAAAGGCAAAACTCTTTTCAGCCGCCGCTGCTGAGGAGCTTTTTGGTCCCTGTGAGGCAGTGGCAAAATGCCTGCAGAGTAAAAAGGCAATTGGTCTTGGCACAATGACTACAGGCACAGTGAGATGATAGCGTGGTGAACGAAGTGATCATGCAGGTGAAGAAAGAGTGTCACCCAGTATGTTGAAATGCCAGATGAAGCTGAATCAAAGGTAAGCAGGACCGTCGCCCATTGTCGTCACACAGGAGATGTTTAAACACTGTCAGAGGTCAGACGGCGAGCAGAGGTTTATGAAGCTGTGGATTTAATTCACTCTGGGCTCAGCAGAAGATTTGATCAGGAGGGAACAGCAGTAGCGTCATTCAGGGAGCAGACTGTCCTGATTGGGTAAATGGAAAGCCATGCGCAAAACCTGACGCGCATTCTCTCTATCTCCCTGTAAAGTTTGACCTCGGCTTCAGCTCCAGATGTTGGGAGATGTCTTTGAGGAAACTGCGCCTTGCAAAACTTTACAAGAGGTTGCATCATGTGCTTCAAAACTGCATCCGCAAACCAGGGCTCTCTTTTTTGGAAAAGTACAGAAAGTAATAAAACTGTGCATGTGCCTTCCCATATCCGTTAGATCTTCAGAGAGAAGCTCCTCTACTCTCAGACGCCTTTTAAAATTTAGTTGAGAAGCAGCATGGAAGAGAGTGACACACCCTGCACTCATGTATGTGCAATCATTGAACAATTGGATTTACAGGACATGATGAAAAGTTTTATCAATGTGAATCCCGAGTGCAAGAACCCCGATGGAGTATCAAAAGATTACATATTCTATCATTTATTTACTGGTTCAGTTTAGACTGCAACTTATTTCAAACCTATAATAACCCTTGTGCACTCGCTGTTGTTGGTACATGTGATGATGAAGTGTGGACTTGTGGCCTTGACTTGGGTCAGTGAGTGATTTATAGAATGGTTCAGAGAGCGTTTCAGACTTCACTCAGTTCAGAGAAGAAGTCCAGTTCCTCTGCAGAGGTCACTGGGATCAGACTGGCTGAACTCCACGGAGCCAGTAGAGTCTGCATTCTTTGATTTAACCTTTGAAGATTGGGTTTGGTATTGTTTGGAGGCTGAAGAAAACCAGGCAGAACCTTGAATCGCCTCATCTCCTAAAAAAAAAGGAGGTTGACCATCGCTCATGCATGTTCAGAGAAACAGGACAGGATGGAGCAGCTGCAAATCCACCCAGCAGTCTGTGCACCGAAAACCCTCACTCCAGTTGGTATGAATGATAATGTCTTAATTTGAATGAGCACTTGGATACACAGACACTGCTGTATCATTTACAAATAGCTCCATAAGGTAATGCACGGTTTCTTACATTTTGAGAGCTCAGGAGCAGGATCTATCTGAAGCGTTTGTACCTTATGAACACAACGAGAACAAGGCTGAACTTGTCATTGGTTTTAAATCAATATCTGGTAAATCGACACTTATCTGTTTTTAATTCAATATTTATGTGTCACACACACACATTTGGCCCGCAGGAACAATCAGACAGCTCGGCTGTGAGAATCAGATTGCAGCTCTCTGACTGCTCACCAGCCACACACAAGCTGCTCATTTGCAACACCTTCACACTTCTGATTGCACAAGTGGTGTGACTTGCATGTCACTTGCATCGAGCATCATGAATATTCTGTGTTAGTTTTTTTTTTTCTTAACCTGTGTATCTCACTCAAAATCCCTGGCTTTCTGTACTGCTGAGAGGAGGGGCAGATGCAGAGGAAACCCAGAGGCTGCAAGGACAAAAAGTGATCGGGATACTGACCGACTATTTGTGCTACTCCGGCCTTAATGTTGTTCTCAATATCTGGAATGGTGGAAAGATTAAAAGCTTCTGTATCCATGAGATGAATCCATATTATTTGTTCTTTCTTTTTGCAACGGAAATGTTCTCAGCTCTTCTTCAAATAAATGTTTAGACACCAATCACACAAAAGCATAAACGTGGACTCCACAAAGTGTTTCACTGATATGATTCCAAAATTCTGCGTTATTTTCTGTACAAAGAAGTTCAATCTAAGCTTGTTATTCCAGGAGTCATGACAAAAAATGACTAAGAGATCAGTGTTTCATAATTGCAACCATTATGCTTTAAACTACATCCATGCTTGTTTGAATTAGCGTCCTACGGAGGCTAATGGTCCTGATTGAGCTTAATCGCCCAGCAAACGAGCAACGCTGAAGCATTTCTAGCTTCACAGTCGCATTTTATTCAAGTGAGATTTGAAATCCCCACAATTAACCTCCCACTCATTCGGTCTTTGTGCAAATTAGCACACAGCAAATGGCCCTTGGAACAGTTGTGTCTTCATTAAGTGGCTTATTTTTCACTTAAGATATATAAGCTGAAGTCCAACATTAAAGATACAATCTTCAGAGGAAGCAATTCAAGCAATATGATTCATTATTAAAACGTTTAGAAACCATTCAATAAGCTCGACTTTGACAAACTGCTCTTCTGTATGTCAAAAGTTTGAAACAATGATGGAACTTCTGTTTAATTCAGCAATTATCATGTACAGACAATAGTTTGAAACTTATGAAGGTTTATAACACAGAGTATTGGAGTTTTAAATTACGGAAGCCTGAAGCAGACATGAATCTATAGTCTACATTTTATTTACTCAGTTTTCCTGTGACAACACGTAATTTCCTGTTGTTTTCTAGATTTCTCAACTCATTTATCTCCTACCTCCAACAAACAATGTAGGCTTAACTACTAACCCCATAAGTTTTTGGCAATGGCAGCATGGCAGGTCGTGATCAGATCTATCACAGTCACCAACTGGGGCTGCTGTGGCTCAGCCGGTAGAGTCGGTCGTCTCTCAACCGGAAGGTCGTGTGTGCGATCACCAGCTCCTGCAGCCACATGTCCGATGAGTCTTTGGGCAAGACGCTGAGCCCCAAGTTGCTCCCACTGCTTTGGTGGCGACCTATTAATGTGTGTGAAAGGGATAAGTTAATACTGATGTACATTTACATAGCAGCCTCTGTCATCAGTGTGTGAATGGGTAGGTGTGACCTGTGGTGTAAAAGTCCACTAAGGGCTTAGTGAACCGGCCTATAGAGTATTTATGTATTTTGTCTTAAAATAAAGCTCATAAGTGTAATTTGTTACAAACATGGTGGCTGGATAAGATAAAACAATGCAATGAATAACAGGCATATAGATTTGATTAAGGAATCACCATTTTCTCCTGGTTGCAAAATGACTAAAATAGAATCAGACAATGAAGCATCATTGAGACCAATGAAAGTGAAGTTGTTTGATTGCTGCCTGAGGCTGTACATGCAGGAGGCAGAGGTAGTGCAAACATCATTACAGCAATTCTGATTGTGAAGGTGATGTTCTGCTGCCATCCACTTACTGTCGTTTTTTAACAACTTAACCTGCACTGCTGCCCTGACACGTCTTCTTTTTTATTTTATTTGGCAGTAAAATAAGCAGCAGGAGACATTTATTCAGAGCTATCATTATGTCATAAAAGCTTGGTCCAATGCACTCCAGTGTGGCGGTACAGAACGGCAGCAGCCTGGGAAATAACGTGTCCAAGTGACACGTTGTTTGTTGGCAGGTCGTGGAGCGAAGGCGGGCGGGCCACTGCCCTCAGAAACAATCAAGTGGAACTTCACCTCAGCCCTGTCAGACTAGCAACTGGAAACAAACAGATAAGGTAGACTTACTGTAGGGTGCTTTTCCATTCATTTTTAATTAAAATGTCTTTATTTGACCAATTAAGTTAACCTACAGATATGCTTGTTTGATGTTCCTCACAGTTTGCAAAAGGGTTGTACTTCTGATTAATTGTTGACTAAACTGGAGCGCTGTCTGTTTCTTATTGTATTCATAACTGATAGAATCATGATCATTACCTTTAATGATTGTGATTTTTCATAAAGCTTCAAAGTGAGGTTTGCACAACACATCAGCCAGCTGTTGTGGTAAAAACGAATATATGCAAGACTTCGATAAAAAAGGCACTGCTCATGAGAATCTTTAAATAGACAGCTCACATGCAGCAGGTTTAGATAAACGGTAAGAAGATGTGACCCATGTGTAGAGAGTATCGACTAGAGGACATTTGACCATTTGCTTCATGTCATCCTCACTTTCTCGCCTCCCAGTAGTTCCTCTCTTTCTTCTGCTGTCCTGTCAATAAAATGGGAAATAGCCAGAAAATAATCGATAGGAAAAAAGGAAAACCCAGGTCATTGCTGCAGCCCGGCAAACAGCATGGACACATTTCAAAGTGAAGTACATACAGCCTTTAAAGTTGTATTTAACGGTGATTTGCCTCCTTCATGCAAGTTAAAAAGGTGATATACAGCTTCTATAGCTTCAACCGAATCCATGCTTTCCTTCTTCATCATTAATTATGATGACCACTTACAGTGATTCGGAGTGTATCCATCCTGACGTTGACTTCATAAACCAGTCAGCCAATCAGAGAACAAGTTTCCATATTCAGAAAAAAAATCGCAAATCTTTTCGGTCACAGGAAGGAAGCTGCTCCTCTGTGAAATGATAAATGTACTCCCTGAAAAGCTGTTTGGAGAAAGGAGTGTAGATCAGTAACAATAAAAACTGTTACTGGAGAAAGGCTTGGATTGCCTTCTATGTGATGAGCTTTCAGGCTAGTGTGTTAGCAATGTTTGGACAAATAAAAGCAGACATGTTGACTCCCAGTACTGGTAAGTGAAATAAAAAATGGTCTCAGTCCTTTAGAGTTTCAGTAAACAAAGATTGTCTTTGTCGTAAATAAAACAGGGGAAATCGTGCTTTCTTACATTTGTTGAGGTTTTTTTTTTTTTTTTTTTTTTTTCCTCTTGTGGTTTAGTAATCTGTCGGGAGAGTAAGTGCATAACAGTGTAGGTATCTAACACGCTCACCTGTCCTCTACATATCATCAGAGTGTGAGGATCAGTTCAATCGTAGATGCTGAGAGAGGAATATTCTCCACGACTTAAAATATGGTGGCAGATCAGGAGGAAGAGGAGAGAGAGAGAGAGAGAGAGAGAGAGAGAGCGAGAGAGAGCGAGGTGAAAAGTTAATACATCCCACGTGACGTATCTTGCATATCACCCGAGCGAAATAACAGCGAGCCCATCAATGCAAATATGCACCGTTACAGCATGTGTCTACTTGATATTTTAAACATGTCGCAGGGATTTTCAGCTTGAACCTGAGACAGGGGGAAGAAGTCTGAGAACAAGCAGCTGCTGTCTTGTTCGAGGATCAGTCTAATTATCTTTGCAATATTAAAAAACACGTTCATTATTCCGAGTATTGCCGCGCAGAAGGACCGTCCTCAAACAGACTGAGCAACTGTTTCCCATTTCAAACAAGAGAAAACACTGCAGTCTTTCTTATGTATGAAAAACGGTTCTGAAAAGGGATTTCAGTGTATTTACCGCCAGCTCCTCATTAGCATTCCTTTGCACCCTCTTAGCTGTGGGTCATTAAAAATACCTGACGGGAAATCCTACAGCACACGGTGTTCTTTCACACATTTAAATAAATAAATTGCCGCAATTAAACATAAATACCCATTCGACTTCAGTCCCCGAGCTCGCAGCCATATTTCATTCCACATTTCATCTATTAAGGCGCCTATGTGTGAACAGAAAATAGATACTGTATTACCATGGGCGGCCATTACTGCTCTAAACTGCAGACTCTGACCTCTGTTTGCTTCGTCTCTTCTCAATAACAGGCTTTCCATTTCAAATGTATCCAGCTGTCAGAATTGATATTTACCGGTTAAATAAAGGCTAAAATAAATAAATGACAAGAAGGGAAAGTCTGATTGATAGAAAAAAAATGACACAAACATCTGCTTTTTGATGACAGAATATATAAATGATAAGATAGCACTTTATTAATCCCGTAGGAATTTCAATCGCTAAATATACCACCCCAATGGGCCCTGACTTAACACGCTGGTGATGTCATTTTGAAGCTAAAAATCTGCGCAGTAGACATTGGTTGGTTGTGGCAGTGGTGCCTTTTGCTAACCCAAACAAAAATTTACTTAGAGTAGAGTATAGGGAGTAGAGTCCAAAGCAGATGGTTCTTGTGACAGTTTCAAACAGTCACTCACTGTTATGGAAAGTTCAATGACACTAGTGTCAGAGTTTGTTGCGTTTCCTTTCACCGTTCCTCCTCTACTCTGCTAGTCCTGTGCACACGTTAAGATGGCGCTGCATTTGTCAGCAAAGCTATCAATAATCGCATTATACCTCGTTTTATATCGTATTAAATAACTCGTTAGAGCCCTATTGTACAGAGAATATTGTACAGACAATATTGTAAAAAATGCACGATATGAACTAAACTGACAGTAATTATGTTGGGGGATGTTGACTTTTATTTTTATTTTATAGTTTCTGACCCATGTCCTATCTGTTAGCATGAAGGTGGCAGATTTTATTATCTCAAGCTAGCGTTGTAGTCATGACCATATACTAACTAACTAATTAAGATCAAACATTAAGGGATCGAGGCCGAGTCAAGACCAAGGCAGGGCGAGACCAAGAAAAGACCAGGACCATTAATAGCACAGAAAAATCATCATCTTTTGTGCAGCGGGCGTGTCACTCACTTTGACCCTAACACCGGGGGATAAATACATTTTTCATTATGAGTGAAACAAAGTTATTCCCTCTTCAAGAAAGTGGCGCTTTCCTTCTGATCACAGTAATGACTCGAAAAATAGTCTTGATCAGTGGTGGTCTTGACTGGTCTTGATTATAAAATCCCCACTCCGCCCGACCAAGACCGATTTCAAGTACTACAACACTATCTCAAGCAGCCGGTCAGAAGGGGGAGCTTCAAATGTTTAGCCTTCTTCTAACTGTAACTGTACATGAAATGATAAAAAGTAATATTGTACGTGGTAGCGAAAGTCAAAGTATAATTGTGTTAATATGCATGATGGATGAGTAGTAAGGCACATGGCCCAAAGGTAAGTAAAAAAACATTACAGAGACTTCTATTTAAAGCTCCTGTCACTTCGTTATTTTTTGTATGATAATAATAATAGTGCTATAACGCATGTGTTGTGGTGAATACTATACAAAAAATATTATTGTACACCTCTGTTTCAAATCACAATTTAATACAAGCAGTGTTGATTTATGACACAATAAACTACACTGTAAAAGACTAAATACAGCTTTATAATTATTGCCTATGGAGTTCAATAGCAAGGAAGAAAGCATAATATATTACGCTGACTTATTTCCACTTCTGCATGCACCCAGATCCCAAAAGTTACCGTAAATCATTCCTACAAACCTCTTCACTTTTCCTCCATGACAGCCAATTGTGTTCAATTCCCTCTTTTCTTCTTTATTAAAAGACGGGAGTGCAGGTCCGAGCTGACAGCACACCAATCTCCGAAGCGCACATATAACACCCTCCCCTGGCACCTCCTGCCCCGAAATTAAGATTAATTACAGAACAGGCCAATATGCTGAAATGGGAAATTATATGCTCCCAGGAATGGGGCTCTATAGATGCTCTGTCTCAGTTAGCGGAGCAGCTTTTAGATTGCACTCACATACCCTTATGCTGAGCACAGCATGGGTGGGATTGACTGTCTGGCTGTGTTCTGGGGGGTTGATAATACCTGGCAGAAGGGTCTCAGGATATGATGGCACTGATTAAAGCAACTTTTATTGCATGCCAGGTGGGCTGGTATTCCTCTTATCTTTCTAATCAGTCACTATGCACAAACAAACAATAAACATCAGCTCTCTGTGTGATGTGACGCACATCTGGAGGTCCGACAGGCCCTGTAGTACGTGTATATAACTGACAGATATGTATTGACAGAAGGTGTATTTGCTC